TTCCCTAGGAGCAGACATTCCTGGAAGAGTGGCTTGTAGAAGCCAACGTTTGGAGACTTAGAGTTTGTGATGTATTTGTGGCCCAGAAAATACAGGTGGCTTGAGTGTTGTGATCACAAGCAAGTGCCCAGAAATAAGACTAGAATGATAATCTGAGACCTGATCATGAAGGTCTGTTTATGAAGTGTGTGTACACCATACTGAAAAGTTACTTTATTCAATAGTTGTCATCATGGCTTTTAAAGCAAAAAAGTAATAGGATCATATCTGTTTTAGAAAAATAAGGCTGGTGTCAATGTAAAGGTAGTAAACTGTGTCAATGCAACACCAACATAGAACACATTTGACAGTTTAGCTGCAAAAGGGTTTGCCTACATTCCAAGTGTGAGGTGTATAAAACTCAAAATGAAAACCGAGGAAGCAGTAATACAGTCTGATAACTAATGCCAACTTAGCTGGTAACTATGTGACTTGGGGTTGGCCATATATCCTTGGAAAGATTTCTTAGCCTTGGATTACTCGTCATAAACACAATACTAATGACATGATCACATGGTCATGATCCCTGTGTTGCAAGGTAGTTGTGACAATAATAGTGTATTAAAAGCATCCAGCACTAGTCTGACTCTCAATTAACCTGCATGCTAAGTAACAGCATTTATTATTACTAATATAGTGAAAAATGTAGAGGCTTAACATTCTATTCTATGATTCTCCAGACAAGGCTTTAATAAATGCCATATATATTTTGATGAAGTCAGTATGATGGGACTTCTACTGATTCCAGAGGCCAAAGAGCAGGAAAACATAAATAACCATCCAAAAGGGATAAAGGGGAAATAGAGGAGGCCCTCCTTTCAGCTGCTATTTGGAAGGTAAGAATGTCCACATTTCACGCTTCAGTCTGGTTCTTCTGTAGTTACGTAAAAACGCTTTCTCTTTTACATGCATGTATTCTCCCGTTAAATTAAAATATCTTGGTCAGATATTTTAATTCTTTCACTGTTCTAGTATATTATGAAGTTCAGTATACATAAATACATTTTACATTTTCACTAAAAGAAAACCTTACCTTCAGTAAGAATTGTTATACAAATAAAATATTATATTTATACATATGTAATTATATACATATATAAAACACAGGTCTCTGATGAGGCTTACCTGAACATTTATTTTAACTGTGGGAAAAAAACTGACTTGAACTGTTGAAAAATATTGATTTTAAGCCCTTAGCTTATAATTTATAGTTAGCCTTATAAAAATGGTAAGTGAACATTAAAAAACATAAAAATAAAGCTCAAGTGTAGAGCACATGCTTAAAATGCACAAGGTCCTGGGTTCTATCCCCAGAACCGCCTCTACAAACAAACAAACAAACAAACAAATAAACCTAATTACCAACCCCTCCAAAAAACTAAAAAAAAAATTGCTTTGAATGTTTCAATTTTACAATAATTTCCCTGTCTTCATACTACTACATATCATTTTGATTTTCAAATTATTTTATTTCCTTTTTTACAATTGCAAATTCAGTGAAGTACAAAACAAACGCAGAAAAGTGGGCCATAATTACCCTACCTTAATAACTTCCGTTAATAGATTCAGTAACACATGGGTAAGATTAGAAAATTTCAATCCGTTTGTAAAATGAAAAGTGGAAGACTTCCTTCCACTGGAACGCCATCCAGGACAAAAAAAAGCCTGAATTTACACGTATTTCGGTCATACACACAAGTAACCACACCATACGCACTATAATGCGCCTTACTTTTTTCACAAACTATATTTTGGAATTCTTTCCACATCTGCATTTAAATCTTCAGAGCTGGCAACAGCTGCCTTGGACTCTAAAGTGAACTTAACTAGAATTAACTTTTACTGAACGTCTAAGTTCAGGCACAGGTCTCGGGGTATCTTACTTACGCCCAGCTCAGACTTTCACGGTTCAGGATTCCGAAGTCCTCAATGTCCTAAACCATAATCCCCAAACTCCTCCAAACGGGACTTGAATTTCAGCCCACTTCGCACAGGCTCGCGTCAGCCT